CCCCCCGCATGCCCCTTGATGCATGTCATTAGGAACTTGCTTATACTGAATCATATTTGCCATTTTAAATCCACTCCTACAATCTAGGGAGATTATTTTGGCATAGTTTACTGTATCTTTTTTTAATTACCCTAAATAACTGGCACCCTCAGCAAATGGGGACTCTATCTGTAACTCCATATATTGTTGTTGGAATCTGTAGTATCTAAATGCTGCAAAATAAATAAAACAAAACAAAACAGAATGAAAATAAATAAAACCTGTGACCTTGCACAAATGCTGGATTTATGCTGTATCTCTGCATCAGAAGCCTTTTCAAAGTTACAAGGATCCCAGTTACATTGTATGGGAACTGCTGGCATACAGGTATGCTTCGTGGACTTGTTAAAATATGGCCTGCTGATGTCTCCCTTGCTTAAGATAGTGATTTAATTTTAAAACCAATGACCCACCAGATAGCAGATATCATTTCCATCACATTTCAAAAACAGAAAGATTACCAAAATTACATTACTAGTTATGTTGTTGTAATGATCAAAATAAATGATATTTGACATACTTTGGAATTTCAAAGAATTTCAAAGAAAGAAAAATATTTAATTTGGTTTTGATGGGAAGAAGTTTTGAGGTGTGATATGTTTGTTCAGGGAAGTCAGGAGATTCCCAAGACACCTACGGATGTTGCTTCTGAGTGATATACTGTTGGGATTCTCTGGCTCTCTCACCCACCCAGTAAGTAGACTGTGGGTCCACTAACAATTGCTTTAGAATCCATAGAATATAGGAAGGCTATGCTACAAATATAATTTTTAAAATACAATATTTTCAATACACAGCATATAGTCTATGCACACATTACAGGCTGTAACATCTACAATTGAAATAAGGAAACATTCAAAAAATTACTCTACCTTTGGCCCCATTCTTAGGTACTGAAATGTAAAAATGAGTGGTGAAAGATAGGGAAGAGAAAATTATAAAAAACAGAAATCATGGATTAAAAAATGAATTAAATTTACTAAAATATTTTTCTTTACCTTGTCAATCAAAGTAATATTTTTTCTTTTATGATTTTATCTACATAATTGACAAAGTTTGTTGGCCTTCTGTGCAAAATTATCAGAGAAAACTGCTGAATATTTTCTCACTTATAAAATCATTAACATTTGATTATACAAAAAGCAAATACAGAAGATGTCATGTACAATGAACATACTTTTCCTTTGACAGATGAATGTAAAGTATGCATGATCACTTACTTTTTGCATAATCTTTACAATAAACAAAACACAGAAGATCCAAAAATGTTCTCGATGGTTAAGCTAAGCAAATGACTCATTTGTAACCAAGCTTTGCTTTGAGTGCTGAATGTCCTAAATGTTCACTTGTTAGTAACTGGCTAGATGAACACTGAGAAAGACAGTACATTGGAAGATTTAACAAAATGCTGTGTGAAAGAGTAAATTACTGGTTAAATACAACTGCCTAGCCAGCAGTGATACTGCAGTAATTAGTTGGGGAAGCACAACACAAGCTTGAGTAAAATGCATTAAGTGTGTGTGTGTGTGTAAGAAGCAGGATAGGAAGAGTACTGATGCTTTTGAACTTTGGTGTCAGAGAAGAGCCCTGAGAATAGCATGAACAGCCAAGAAAACAAACAAATGGATCATCAAACAAATCAACTCAGAGTTTTCACTATAGGCACAAATGACCAGGCTCAAATTAACCTAATTTGGACACATTATGTGAATACCTAGCTCTCTGAAGAGGGCTCTAATGGTGGGAAAAGTAGCAGGAAAAGAAGAAGACAACCAGCAGCATGGTAGGTGGACTCAGTTACAGAGGCGATGAGTGTACCGTTAGAAGATCTGAAAGCCAGGTTAGGGACAAATCATCATGGAGAAAATTTATCTATATGGTTGTCAGGAGTGGAAAATGACTTGAGGGCACATAATCAATCAGTGTGTGTGTGTGTGTGTAAGTGTGTGTGTGTATGTATATGTATATGAACCCCCACTATGTTCCAGTAAGGTGACATCTGACCAGAATCCCATGTGACACATGGATTTTTGGAGCGCATTCTGAATTTCTATAGGATGCAAGCAACACTATAAAAGTTGTAAAATTCTGGACATCAGCATACCTAACTAATTCAGTGGAAAATCAAATGATGGTTTCATGCTGCTCTATAACTTAAATAAGGAATTCACCCATCCTGACTAATAAAAAAGTCTCCAGGTCAATGCCATATATTCCTGACAGGCTAAGGTAGATACTTTCTGCATGATACTTATAGTGCCAGATTAAGGAAGAGGAATTAATTCAAGTTAAAAACTTACATGGTTCAAAGAAATACTTTCATGCCCATCAGTTTCTCGATGATACAAGTAGATAATTTTAATTCATTTTATGAGAATACAAGTATGTACTCAATCCTTAGGAAAATATTAAGGCCCTTTTAAGTCTAAGGCTGATGATCCATATATTAGGACTCATCCACTTACAGTTATATACAAAGTATTTATTAAGTTTCTATGCTGCCACACTCCCTGTGATTCTTCTTTCATTATACATACACGTCCA